TTAAAGATTATTAGTATAAATATAGTAAATTTGTAAAAAAAAACTCAAATTAACAAAAAAAAAATTACTCCACCGATAAAAAGACTATGCCCAACTGACAGAAATACTCTTCTCATCAACCCTCATTAACATTAGTTTACTGAGGTCAAAAATATAGAAAAGAAACTATAGGTACAAGGAAGAAAATGAAGTATTCCACTTGGGGTTTTGATTATCTCAATATGAAATTAAATTACATGTAGAATTAAGAATAATATATATATATATATTTTTTAAATGTTTATTTTTTTTTATTTTGTGGGTGTTTATGGATAGGTCGTTTATTTGTAATTTTTTATTTTAAATGTGTATTTATACTTTTTTACTTCAAACGTTTCCTGTTTTTGTTATTTGGTTGAACTTTAATTTAAGGTCGTTTAATTTAAGTTATTTACCCAGGTAAATGCACTTACCTGGGTAAGTGTTTCCCATGAAAGACTTACCCAGGTAAGTGCATTTACCAATAACCATTTTAGTCATAAAAATCTATTATTACAAGGGGCATTTTTGTCCCATTCAAGTGTTGGCAATTTTCTCCAAGGTGGGAAAGTTATTTACCAATACCCACATAGGAGATGGGCATCAATTAATCGAGCAAGTGGTACCCAGGAAAATAAACTTTCCTTAGTCCCCACATATAAAAAAAGAACATGAGATACTTTCCCCCCTTTCAAAATCCAAAAAAAGAATACCCCTTAAACGTTTTTTACTCTCCACCTTAGATTAATACCCATTAAAATGTGACACATTAGCATTTGGTTTCAAAAAATGCTGGGGCATTGGGAGAAACAAGAATTTTACGTTTCCCCAAATGCCCCATGCACAAAAATCAAAGCATTTCAGTTTTCTACCATTTATTTGATAAACATTAAAACCAAACAGTTGTTTTATTTTGTTTCATATGCAATAAATGTCAACACCTATGTGGCATTGATGTAGTAGTATGTTTTCAATAAATATCCATGGAACTAAACACAACCTATGCCCAACCAGCAGAAATACTCTTCTCATCAATCCTCATAAGCATTAGTACTGAGGTCAAAAATATAGAAAAGAAACTATAGGTACAAGGGAGAAAATGAAGTATTCCACTTGGGGTTTTGATTATCTCGATATGAAATTACATGTAGAATTAAGAATAATATATATTAAACATCATCATTTAAGCCATATTCTAATCATATGGGTTCATTTTGCCATTACATTCTATATAATGCCATATCCATTACAATTGTGAATGCTTAATTCAGTTCTTACTACTTTGTACTTAGCCTTTTTAGCCCATTGAACTTGTAATAGATCATCTCTTCTTACATTGTGCATGACCTTCTATGCCATATTCATATACTAATGGTAACCCAAATTAACAATGGGTGATGGGTAGAAAACAATGTGGTATATTCCTTACAAAATAACAAATTAAAATAACTTCTATTAGTTCTACCTCTTAGTTATATTACATTTTTTAAACTTCTATTATACCTATTTCAAGACAATAAAGTATAAAATGGTTCAAGATAATCAACTTATCTGTCAATTGCATATATTTGCTAAGGTTTTTAAGAACCTATAATTTGATGATAGATATGATACTAAATGGAACAAGATTCATTGTAACTGAACCCATATAATTATGACAAAGTCTTCAGAGGATGATAACGTTTTTAGAACATTTTTAATTCTTATAATAATTTATAGCTTTTAAAATATCCATATTATATGATTTTTCAAAATTTATTTCATGTCATATACAGTTCTGACAATGCAAGTATAACCATGCCAGATCCATGGATATGTGTATATGCAGAGACAAAATACAAGATCCACTCCATTAGTAAGGGCCCACACCCATCACCCCAATTTAGAGAGTTGTCAAAACTGTGGGCCCTCTCTTGACTCCCGCCCTGTGTACATGTGATGAGTTTAAACTGCAACTAGACGTTCTCTAGCCCCCAACCAAGCTACTCCAAATGGTGGCAAGTACAGCTGTACAGGTGATGAGTTAGAGAGCAAAGCTACTCTTGTGATAACATTGCTAACCCAGACTAATTAGCTGAGATCATATTTTACCTTAGTACACTGCTTTGTTTCATTAGGGTTTTGGATTTGTAATGCAAATACAAATATAAATACAAATTACACAATCTGTTGATGCGGAGGAGTGCAAATAGAGGCAGACCGTAAATTCTGGTTTACTTTTTTGTTTCAGTCCCTGCAATTTGATAACCCTCCCCACAACCTATCCTTGGGATTGCTGACGTATAAAGCGCAGTGTGTGGTTTTCCACTCACACTGTTATTGACTTTGTAAAAGTGTGTCATGAGTGCTCTGCACAATACAAACAGCACAAATGAAAAACAGATGGGCAAACAAAGGGCTGAGCCAAACCCCAAAGTTTTGTCCCTTGCTATTGAGGGTGATAGGTGGTGGGTCCCATGTTAATAGATGCCCCCCTCAAATGAAGTTTTCCTTTTTTTTCTTTATTTGTTTTATTGTTTTTCTTTTGAATTACACCCAAATGAGGTATCTTGACTCCAACAATTCAGGCAGCCGGGCACATGTAGAGAAAATCTCCATGTCATTTTATTAATAGCTGAAGTGGAATGAATTATGGTTTTTGAACCGCCGTTGATTTGGATGGTCGGACTGTTTGGTCTAAGATTTATACAGATAATTAGTTTTGTTTTATCCCAAACCTGATTTTTGGTTAAAATTGCTGAATTAGTAAGTTAAATTGTCGATCCATCGATCCGTTCAATAGTTTTTTATCAAAAATCATTGAATCGGTAAGGTAAGTCAAACGTAATGATCAACCCGTCAACCCAAAAAACGGTGGCTAAAACAGATTCTATTTTTGAATCATCTTTTAAAACCATGGAATGAATTGTTTCTTTGTCTTTTATTAACTAAATCACTAAATAGGTTGTGAGCTTTTTCTAATGGTTGGAACTGAGTTTCTTTGTGTTCCTTACTATACCCTCAAATTCTTTATTTATTTAACTATTTTGTTCATCAAAAAGCACAGCCAGTTCAGCCATTTTTGACTGTTCAATAGTTGTTAAATTGGCAAGCTGAATAAAATAGCTACGATAAAATATTCAAAAGGTAAATTAATCAAACAGACAAGCTATTCAGCAACTGAGGAGCTTGCCCCCTATTATTCCACTCAGGATCTACTGAGAATACTTGTATAATGGGCAATATATCCAATCAAGAGTGAAAAATGCTAGTGTTTCATAATTCATAGACAGAGGACCCACTTATGATGTAGGCCCATATGCCTATGTGGACCCATTTAAAAAAAATAACAAAACTAGCGTGTTTTACTGTAACTGGTTACATACTTACATGGCCCGGTATTCAGAACAAATCTGGACTCCTATTATTAGACAAATTGACCAAGTAACTCAGTTCAGCCCGATCAGCAATTATATTCATTTCCTATGAGGAATCAAAGGCCAACTTTTTTTATTTTTTTCTTTGTTTTCCAAAATTTTGAAACCAATGTGAACCGACTTGAAAACCGGTTCACAATAAACCAATTTGAAAAGATCTTGACATTAGGCTGGCCCACATTTTGATTGGCCCAGAAAATCTCAGGCTAACCATCCTCTGAAGTCTGAAATCTCCACTAGGCCAGGCCCAGCTGACCCTAAAATTGGGTTGGACTGAGCTGGCCCGCCAGAATACCCTCTCTGTCTCCTCCCCAGTCCCCATACTTACATGACACCGTCACCACGATGTAACGAAAGGCCAAGGACCGGTTAGTCCTCAAAACCATGATAACTCCAAAGAAAATTGGAGTCCCAGTCCGTAGTAGTAGTATTAATACACAGAGGAAGAAAACCCTAGAATTTGGGCTGTCTAATCAGTGGGTCCCACTCGAGAGAACTTAACTTCATCATGCGATTGCAATCGTCGGATTCGCACTGGAAATCCATCAGCCCACTTGATATTAAAAGGCCCATTGAACTAAATAAGACACGGCCCGCAACCAATAACTTCTCACCATCATCTCCGTAACAGGAAAAGTAAATGCAGCATGCCAGAATTTATGTCATGTAGATTATAAGAGGCTCTATTTCCCAAGTGTTAAGAACTGCTGCTGACGTCATAGTATCGGAACCACCTTCCCGGTGGGACCCGCAACCATGATCCGCGGAGTACCAAATCATTACGACCTATTCCCCCCAACCAGCCCCCCACTACACACCACATCAAGAACCACAAATAAGTGCATAAATTCCCACGAGTTGGCAAGTCAAGGGATCAGATCGTATCAAAACACCACTGCGTTATGCTCGATCAACGGTCAAGATGATGTGTTCGCTTTCAGGGCATGATTTGGATCCGACTCGACCGCGGGGAAGTGGTACCCTATTTTTTAATGGTGAGACATGAAGCAGGTGAGCGAGTGTAATATCCGTGGAATAAACAAAACGAAGAGGGAAAGGAGATTATTAGGTACGTCTGGTGTCAGTAATTAGAAGGCTCCTGGCCATGGACGGTGGTGCCTGTTACCTCGAAAACCACGCCCGAGGAGTGGGTCCCACTCGGCATGGCGGAAAAAGCGTGACTTGTGGAGAAAACCGCAGGAGTCCCATACAGTGGATCGCGTCAGCGACGCTAGCCCCTTCCGACCGTCCGATTCCCTCCCCACACCATCAAATCCACGTGGTGGGACCCAGCCCCTGACAATTCAGATATTGACGTTTCACGAGCGTGAGTGAAGTCAATGTTGTCCAATGATGAAGTGCCACGTCTTCAGTCATTTGACGACCTAATCCCGCTAAATCCCGGTAAATCCCAGTGGTCAACGAAAAAGCTAATTACCGCCACGTGTCGGGTCGTACGTGATCTATAATCTCGCCACGCCCGTCTTTAATCTTCCCTTCATGCTTGCAAAACAATGGCGGAGTTCCGCGAAATTTAGCAGTGGTTCCGTTGAATTAACAGAGGGGCAATTCAGTCATTTTATGCAAATTCTTACCTTTGTTATTTATCTGAAGTCAAGATCTCTCTCTGTCGCTCTAACCTCGCAGTCTTTCTCCCAAATCTCTCTCTCTCTATCTCTCTCTCTCACACACACATTCTTTCTCTCTCTAAGAAGTAAGAACTCTGGAAGGGAGGGGGAGGAAGGAAGTAAGAGGATGGATTTAAGCATGGTGTCGTACGGTCACATGGAGAGCGGCAAACCCGAGAGGGAGAATGGAGGAGGTGACGAGGGTGGAATGAGGCCGGTCGAGGCGAACCGACGGTTCGTGGGTGAACCAGTGATGGAGCAGGTTAGCAGCAGTAATGGAAGGATGATGGGTTCCGTGGGAAGGGCTATTAGGTACAAGGAATGTCAGAGGAACCACTCGGCGTCGATCGGTGGCCACACCTACGATGGGTGTGGGGAGTTCATGGCGGCGGGTGAGGAAGGGAGCAAGGAGTCTATGAGGTGCGCAGCATGTGGTTGCCACAGGAGCTTTCACCGGAAAGAATTTCCCGGTGGGTGCACGGCCGAGTTCCAGCAGCGGTACCTGCATCACATCCAGTCTCCTCCGCCACCGCCACCGATGGTGCTGTACAATCATGTAGGACCCGCACAGAATCCTGGGTGGGAGAGGCCGAAGATGGGTGGTGGTGGAGGAGGAGGTGGTGGGTTTCCTCCTATTCCGGCATTTCCAGTGCCAGTGCATCAACGTGTGCCTGTTGTTGGTGGTATGGGAGCTGTTGACATGAGGAATCTGCAGTATCAGCAGTATCAGCAGCAGCAGAGTGATCAAGATCGACGGTCGGAGACGCCGGAGGAAGGCGAGGTGCAGATGGGATCGTCGGTGAAGAACAAGAGGTTCAGGACCAAATTTACGCAGGAGCAGAAGGATAAGATGTTGGAGTTTGCGGAGAAGCTTGGATGGAGAATACAGAAGCATGATGACGTGGCGCTCAACCAGTTCTGCTCGGAGGTTGGAGTGAAGCGTCACGTGCTCAAGGTTTGGATGCATAACAACAAGAATGCGCAGCGCAAGAGAGAGAATTCAGCCACACCAGCAGCTGGAGTTGCCGCTGCCGCTGCAACTGAACTCATCGGCGTCTGAGAGCTAATCGATAAAACCAACCAACCTCTTTCGCTTGCTTTGTTTATTAAATGATAAATAAATATTTAGAGATAGTTTCGTGTTTGTGTATTCCTGTCATTCTAACAAAACATTCTCCCATCTATTCTAAACATCTCTCTCGCTCTCTCTCTCTCTCTGAAGCTCTTCAAACTCAGGTAGGTCTGTCTGTATTAGTTAAAGTTGTTGTTTTTATAGTATCAGAAGCTTAACTAAGTACATGGCGGACTAAACTAAACTTGTGTTCTTTTATGATAATTTGTTTGCTATAAGAAACAGAAACAACGATAGCAGTAACAGTGCATTTGTTTCAATTTCAAGTAGCTAGGTGGACTTTTGTTTGGATCACGTAAGGAAAAAGCTCCAGCAGGAATAAAGGCATTCTAATGGGGTCCCATTTTTGGTTCTCGAGCTTTGTATTTCTCATGTTCTTTGTTCTGTCTTCATTTCCCTAGAGCTAATGAGACTAAACTTTCGATGGATTCTGGTTGATTCGGTTCTGATTCAAGGGAAAGCAGATGGGACCCATTTGCAGATCGATATGGACCCAAACAAGCTGCTTCGGTGGAAATTCAGGCCTGATTCCATCACTGGGTCTGCTTCAGATCCATCGTAATCAAGGGATGTAAGAAGAAATTTTAGAATTGAACTCTGGAGAGAAAGATCCATGTTTCAGACAAACAGCCATGGCAGTTTGCGTTTAGGGAATAGTACCTGGTAATTGTCCTAGAGTGTAACTACCACCACTGTCAGTAGTAGGCCTAATTGCAAAGAGATCTGTCGCCATTTCAAGCAAGACAACGATCTGCAACGTTCCAAAAGAACAAAAGGATGTTAACTCAGCTTAATTTGCATGTAATAACAACCACCACCACCACCTCTGGTCGTATTAGTTTAACTTTGCTGGATTAAGACTTATGAGAACCAACTATATACAGAACGGAATGTTAATAAAGAATTGGAATTATTTCATCTTAGCTTGTGATTCCCAAAAGTGAAATCGTTTCTAATATTTTATTGAATTCTGGTAATGATTCCATTTAAATTATTTCATTCATTATGGTTGGAAAAGTGAATTGAGATGATTTCATTCATGCGTTTCTGAAAAGTGATCAAAACCCAGGCTTCAAAAAAAAAAAAAAAAGTGAAAACTCAAGTTGGATGATAAAAAGAAAACTAGGGTTTAAGGGAAACAACACTCACATTTTTTCGGATTCTCTTAAACTTACCCTAACGCTTAGATATCTCAGGAGTCCTTCGATATTTTTATGTATGATTACCATAGTACCCCTCTTTTCATCTTGGTCTTTAAACAAAATAACCTGCAACCATTCGTTTGTAGGGAATTTACAGTCGGCTTCAGTCTGGTTTGGAGAATATCTCGGACCAAATAAAACCATTTTCAGGATAAAAATTGAGTTAGACCAAACCATTTTATTAGTCTGATTTCTAAAATTTAAAAAGCTGAATCAAAACCTTAAACAAATTTTATAACTTTTCCAAACAGTTTTAAAGTTCATATCAAACCAAAGTTCAGTTCCGTGGTCTAGACCAAATAATAAACGAGTCTGAATCTCCTGCCCACAAGAACTCTGCCCATGCCTACCCACATAACATCTAGACCTTTTCATGGGCTGGGTGGCCCGATGGGCTGGCCCAACCCCCAAACGGGCCTGAACAAATGTTTGAGCCCATGGGCTTGACCTCGGGCCAAAAAGCCTGGCCTGCAATAAATTCAAATTGAGCTCGGAATTTGCCAAAATAGCCCGGCCCCAGCCGACCTATAGGTTAAACCCAAAAAACCCTAACCCTAAATATCCTAACTCCACTCTTCTCACTCATCTCTTTCTCTTAGTCTTAGCCAAACCCCAGTTCTCTCTTCTCTTGGTCTCTCAAATTTCTTTCTCCCTCAGTCAAACAATATCACAATTGGTAGAGAAGGCTGATAGAATACCAAGCTTCATCTTCTCCTCCCTCACTCTGCTGAACGAGATCGTTGTTGCAAGATTGCCGCCGGTAGAAAATAGTGAGGCATAGCAAGGTTTGTCTGCTCTTCCCTCACTCTGTCAAACAAGATGCTGCTACCAAGATCGTTGTCGGTGGAGAACCCTGATGGCATAGCAAGCTTCTCTCTCTCTCTGGCCCGGGCTTCAGGCTTTTTATTAGAGCCGGGCTTGGGCTCAGGCCTAAGAAAATCCTGTTTATGAAGAGTAAAAGCCCAGCCCAAGCCCGGCCCGGCCCATGAACAGGTCTAATAACATCCCAATCATACATGGAGAACATTTCATCCTTTTACATGATATTATGCATAAGGTAGTGTATTATGGGTAGACGTGGGTAGAGTTTTTGTGGGTAGGAGATCCCGAGTCATAATAAACACCCCTAGAGGTGATTTTAACTAAAAAACAAATGAGAAGGTGAAATAGATTATTGATGGGTTGTGGAACCAGAGAAAAACATACAATAGGGGAAAGAAATGAATCAGGAGTATATTTTTATCTTAAAATATAATTAATAGGATAATTGCTTGTTCAAGGTTAATTTATATTTTTTGAAGGTTAATTTATTTATTTATTTTATACAACTACATAGACTTGCCGAAAAAGCCAATCAGAACCCAAATGGTGCATATGGACCACTTCTATCATAATCACTAAAGGAGACCAAAATGGAAAATTTTCATTTTAAAAATAAAAAGTGTCTGGCAGGGGTCTCTAGAGGTATAAAAAAGTAAGGGTGTAATTCAAGTTTTCCTGAGTTTTGGCCTTTGTGCTGGGTTCATTCAAATTTTGACAAATGCAAGCTCAAGCATGCACCTGTTGTACCCTAATCAAAAACAAAAAAGTGAGGGTAAGTTTAAGAGAATCCCAAAAAAGTAATAGGAAAAAAAACCTACAAACAACAATTCAGATTAATTTCCTGCCCACAACTCTCTATTCACACTCTATTCGCCTTGGATTGAAGTCAGTATTGTGAGATGAGCAGCTACAGTGTACTGTGGGTAGGGAATGGGAAGAGAAAGTAGGAAATCTGAGTAATACAAACAATCTTGCTCATTAATTGGAATACTATAACCGTTCCTGTGTTTGTTGTAAGCATTTTAAATTGCAAACTCAACCCTAGCAAGTGTAACTGCTCCTTTTTAATTAGAATTAAATTCAACTTAATGTCAATCTACACTGGTGACAATCAAAAAGAAACTTTTTTTGGTAATAAATAAATATTTTTTAAGAAAAAAAATTACAAGATAAATGCTAGGCCAACCTCGAAAACCAACCAGTCAACAGCAACTATAAAATATACATAAACATCAAACCTGAAAGATCAACCAAAAGGAATCCAATAGATAACCAAAACATCAGAAGGTCTGAGCCAGGAGAGAAAACTGTTACATTATCACACTGGATTTGAAATGAAATATAATCGAGGGTGAGTTTTAGCATTTATTAGAAACTTTAGAGGAGGTTTTTCTTTTTTTTTTTTTTGAATGTTTTCCTACTCATTATGGTGCCAGAAAGACTTGATACTAGAAAAACTTACAATCAATCGAATGGGCAACAGAAAAATAGGAACCAATAAGGTGGGTTTTCATCAAAATTCAGGTGGGGTTGTGATTGGTCAAAACCTTTTCGGCATCATAGATTTTTCCTTAATAAAATGAGTTTAAAATTATTTTGAAATTGTATATTGTTAATAAAATGAATTCAATATAACATTTTGTTATACCTTTGCCTCTTTTGTAAATAAACAACATTCAAACGAACAATTTTACTAATAGATACATTATAAATTTTAGGAAAAAATACAGATTACCACCCAGTAATTTGGAGTAGTGACACTTAACCCTTCAAATTTTCATCTAACACAAAGACCCCTTGGAATCTCAGCTTCCAAAACTATCCCCTAAATGGATTGAGAAAGTTAATTTACTAAAATGTCTTCCAAGATTCATAGAACCCAGATTTCCTACTCACTTTTTCTACCCACCCTCTATCAGTCATGAATTGCAACCACACATCTCTCGATTCATAATAGAGATGTGTGACTGCAATTCACGATGGGTAGAAAGTGGGTAGGAAAAGTGAGTAGGAAATCCCATTTGAGATTCATATGGGTGAGAAGATGTCATTCAAAATCATGAAAATGGGCAAGGCAAAGCACCTATTCTAGAATAAACGCTAAATTTAACCCAAAATGTAGTAAATGATCATTATTTTTCTTATCAAAGCCTAACAAAAGCCACAAAAGATGTTTATGAATGATGCAACAAATCTCACCTTCGTTGACAATGCGTTGATGACTAAACTGATTTGCACTATGTTAATTAATTTGACCATGAAAAAAAAAAGAAACATAAGTAAAAGGTTTATAATAACACATAAGAAAAAGGGGGAAATGGTCCCACAAATTAAGGAAAGAATAGTTTGGGGAATTATATATGTTTAACAAGAACATGACAGTCACATTAGAATCTTTTTTGAAGTTAAATGAGGGAATGCTAAAAGAGGGGGCAAAGTGTTGGAATTTGAAAATTCAGGGGGGTCTTTGTCGTAAATGAAAGTTTGGGAGACCAAGTGTTACTAACCCAAAAGCACAAGGTGGTAATTTGTGATTGACACTAAATTTTATTTTATATATATAAAAGTGTGGGTGAAGTGTGAAACTTTTTCGGACTAAAATTACCCTCTATTTATGTGTTTAAGAAAGGGTATAAAAGTTATTTTATTATAATTTTAATGTCAGCTTTACTGGATACTACAATGGTTATATTTGTGTATTTAATCCATCTCTAATTGTAAGGGTTAAAAATATAACTTCAGTTATTACTTTCCACCTCATTTAATCCCCTCTAATTAATTCTTATACTTAAAGGTATTAAATACTATTTTCTTTTATTAAATCCTATATTTTTAAGTTATTTTTCATCAATAAATGCTACTAATTAGATCTATATCAATATTTTTAATAATATAAACCCATATATTTTAAAAACCGACTCAAAAACAAATCCATTCTTTATCCAAGTGGTGGCTAAGCAATTCAACCATCCAAATCAAATTGATCAACCTATGAACTCATAGTTAGTTAATAAAATTTTTAAATAGAAATATAATGTAACTGTGAGAAGGTTAAAGTCCATCATAACTTTGAGAAGGTCAGTGGGTTAAACCAATAAGATGTAAAATATAATGTAACTTTTTATTCTTACAGTTAGATTA